GGATAAAGATTTTGTGAGTTCCAATCCACCAATGAATTAATGTGCCAACTCATCAGTGCATAGGATAAGATGAGCACCGGTGCTCATTAGATCATTTCTGTATATATATATATAATTTTCTGGAATTAAAAGTAAATTATGTGGTTTAGTATTGTTGGAAAGATTTCATCTACACATGATTGGAGCCATGACCTATTCTTTATGTTAAGCAATAATTGATTTACTTAATAGCAAGTGAATATTTTGGGCGTTCCCTTAGGTAATACAGCAAATTTGGAAGAGTTTTAATTTTGGGCGTTCCCTTTTGGTTCTCTAAAAGGGAAGTCAGGATTTTACTAATTCAAAACCTCACTTGGTCAGAACAATTAGGATTACATGATATACTTATCATTCAGTAATTAGTATTTTATTTTATAGCAAAAACTAGATTTAGTTTCATTTACTGCATTTTTCAATCATCTTTACTAAATTAATATAAAAAAATTATTAATATTTCAAAAGAAATCTTTATTAATTCTATTTAAATAATATTGCAAAATTTTTAATGATACTAAGAAATGAAAAAAAAAAAAAAGGCGAAAAAAAAGTAATTTCGGCATTCTTTATTAATAGTCTTAAATAATAAAATAAATACAAAAGGGCAAAATTGATATATAATAATTTCGCGAATTAAGCATAGAACTTAACTTTGCCCCTAGCTATGAATCGCATGCCCATCGATAAGCATAGCCCTCGAATGTGGAGGAAAAGTATAGTATATATTTATATGTGTATATATGTATGTAAATTAATATATGTATATCTATGTGGTGGTCTCTTCTTTTGATCCTCCATTAATGGCTTTCTCAGCATCAATTATTGCTGGACATATCCCTTTCTCCCTTTCTTCCTCTTTAGTCTTTCCCCATAGCACACAATAAAGTCCTCCAACTAGCAAAAATGCTCCCAATACACTACAAATATAAACAAAAAAGTATAATCATAAATATAAATTATGAAAGTACATCCCCGTCAAACGATGCAGAAGTAAAGGCAATGACAAAATAAATTAGGATTATGCTCTGAGTACAGGGCAGTTTTTTCACAGGGCCTGTGCAGGCCCCTAACTGTAGCAACGGGCCCCACCCCAATGTATTAAAAAAAATATGTGCCCCTCATGTGTGTAACCTGGCAGGGGCCTGTGTACTTGTAGCAAATCCCAACAAATTAACAACGGCACTAGATTATAGCAATACAACATTTTTTGTCATGCTTAATTTTTTAGCTCTATTTCATGAAAAAACAGTTTTCAAGTAATGTCGAACACCCCTTATAATTTTTCACTGACAGAGGCGGCCCTCAAGGTGCGATCCCATGAGGCTCTACATTGTAGGGACACCGAAAATTTTTTTGTTATGTTTTTGGTTTTAGAAGGGTAAAGTTTTGTTACATGAAAGATGTACCATTTTAAGTTTTTTTTTTTTTTAATTGGTGCCTGTAAGTTTTTTTAATTACATGAAAGTGACACAATTTTAAAATGTCGCACGTGCCACCCAAAATCTTAGGGTCGACCCTATTCACTTATTAGAGGTAGTAGCATGTGTTTCTATATGTTTAATTTCATAAATTACTTCCTCAAATTTGCAAAAATATATTATTGATTAGACCTTAATTTGGAAGTAATTATTATGTGAATAATGGTAATTAGGATAGGTGGAAAATTTACCTTCCAAGAGTAATTATCTCCCCAAAGAGGAAAGTGGATGCAATGGTTGTTAATATGAGAATCAATGGAGTTGTCATGGCGAGGTAGACAGGACCCTTCTTTTCAATGACCCATGTTTGCAAATAAAATGTAAAACCAGTCACCACTATTCCCTGTCAAGAATAAGAGTAAAAAACACAAGTAAATAACTTAAAATTTGAAATTAATATTCCCTCATTTTCAATGAGTAATTATTTAACTATTTCCCCCAGAAAAAAAAAAAACTTATTCACACGTAGTTTTCAACGCGTCCCTGATTATTTCAATAACTATTGATCTTCAAGACCCTCCGTTACGTGCATGTCAAATTCAAAATTTTTTATTAAAAGTCTAACACGTGCATGTAGTATAGATTATGCTAAGGTCCTAAATTTTTCCGTCACTCATTTTATCAAGCATTAGGCCTTTCATGAAAATAATACAACCTAAATATGAGGGAGTGCGATAAAAATATGATTTATAAAAATAAATTTACTCTTTATTTAACGATTAAACTTTTAGATGACATGATTCTACAAATGGAACTTTGAACTCATTCAAACATTAATGATGAAGTAAATATTCGTAGGAAAGAGATTTATTTTACTTACACAGTAAGCTATCGATATGAGTTTTACATCCCATCCAAGTTTCCATTCATTGGGATCTCTTACAAAAGCAACAGCAACAAAGAATGCCTGAATGGTGCTCAAAAAGCACTGTAGGGTTGTTAAGAGGAACTTCGAAGGATAACTTTTGAGAACTCCGCCCTACAATTCCATGATAAAAAGAATGAGCTCGAAAGAGATATTAAGCATCCTAAAAGCATATTTTCGAGTTTTTCAGCATATTCTGAAACTGGAGAAAGGAGTAATTCAACTGCGACGTGGAGGACAACCGTGTATATGTAGAACGGTTTTAGGGATAGTCAAGCGCTTGTGGTCGAGCATTATTGAAGACTAAGCCTCCGTTTGGTGCATATTTTTTAAAAAAGAATGCATTTTTACTGTTTGTGTGATAAGAAATATGTGGTTGAAAAAAGAATGAAAAATTATTGATGCAATGGAAAATATTATTTTATTGAAAAATGTGTAGTTAAAAATGAGTAGAAGAATGATAATGAAAAAAAATAATGTGACTCAAATAAGGCCTAATTTCAAGACACGAAGGTAAGTGGCATGAAATTATATATTCCAAAAATAATATCAGTTTTATTAAAAATTTAATAGAATTATTACTAGGTGAATTAATGGAATGTTTAAGGTGACATTTTATGACAAAAATGCAATGTTTTCTTAGTGTCTTGAATCATAACCTAATTATAGTAAATGCTAATTTTATTGATTTGACATTCTTAGAATGTTAACTCATGTATGTTACACTCAACTAGACATGACTTTGAAACCAAAATATATGACAATTTTCAAATAGTTCAAGCTACTGCAACATACCAAAAATATCAAAAACTTTCAACTTAGGACATTGTCCCCAATTGAGATTGTGATGGATTTTAAAAATCCTTCTAAATTTCGGTGTCTTCAATTGGGATTTTAATGAGTTTTAATGAAATTCATTAAAATTTAAAAGTCCCCCAATTGAAATTTTAATGAAATCCTTCAAAATTTAGATATCCTCGATAACTGGTAGATTTATAAAGAGTTTATTAATTGATGAATTTTAAAAGATTTGGATAGATTTCAAGCTTAAAAATACATATAACCAAATCTTTTGAAATTTCACCCCCGTTAGTCGAAGCTAAGGGAGAAGGTTAAAACTGTGATGAATTTTAAATTTTTTTCTAAATTTAGGTGTCTTCAATTGAAAATTTAATGGATTTTAATGAAATTCATTAAAATTTAGGTATCCCGAATTGAAATTTTAATGAAATCCTTCAAAATTTATGTATCATCGATATATACATGGTAGATTTATAAAGAATTTATTAATGGATGTATTTTAAAAGATTTGGATGGATTTCAAGCTTAAAAATACGTATAATCAAATCTTTTGAAATTTCACCATATNAAATTCATTAGGATTTATAATCTTTTAAAATCCATCAAAATCTTAGTTGAAGACGCCCCGTTAAACTTTGTGAATTTGATAGTTTCTTCTAGTTATGAGATTTCTGATAGACTCGACTAAGTATAATTTTAAAAATACAACTACATCATAACAAACTATAAGAGCCGATCGATTCATGTAGTAGCGGATGATACCTGTAATACGAGCCACAAGGCCCAAGTTAAGTTGGAAAGCAGCATGAGTGAGACACCTTTAATCCATGTTTGGCCGGAAGGAATTACATGGCCTTGAAGTTGTTGGTAATGGCTCTTTATTAGGTGATTGTGTAATAGAAGTTTCAAGAAAGGTCCCCTATACAGGGCAATGGTTGCTGCTCCTGCCAAACACAGTGTTACCCCTGAAACTTTCATAATTCCTGGGCTTGTCCTCAGCTTCACCCTTTCCATCCTGTTAATTATTATCCATTATTTCAAAAATCAAGCTTTGGTAAATTAGCAAGAAAAATATATTGGTTAATTAACAACTTATTCAAAAAATTAAATTCATAAAAATCCCAATTATTTCTCATAAAAATTAAGGCTTAATCATAGTATTCCTTAATTTTCTCTCGTCATGAAAATGAGAGAATTGCATAGGATGACACTGAACATTATTAAAGTAAAAAGAGAAAATAATGAATATTTTATATATTCGTCTTGGGGAATGGGAGAAAAAGGATAAGAGTGAGATTCTACTTGTCGCTAAAACCCTCACCCCCTAGCATCTATGGAAGATGGACGTAAAAACTTGCTTTCTCTACACCGTTCCCTTACCTTAAGTGTTCCCTGCATTCACACCACGTAAATGATAGGTGGTAACTATCTTGTAAAGTTCGGGGGTAATCATCTACTCCGACCAGTGGGGGAATCTTTGTCTCTATTGAACATAAAAGGATATCTATTAAAGATTGAATCTTTGCTTAGGTACTAAGTGCTATCGGAGTTGTTTAAGTAAATATTTTATTTTTTATGCGCATCTAAACTCGATCTTCAAATCTTTGACTTTTGATCCAATGAGTGGAAATTTTGCTCCCCGGAAAATTGGAAGCAAGCTTTGTCCAAAATATATACCCCATAGAATAATTTTAATTGGAGAAAAATTATTAAATGCAACTTTCGATTAAATAAAAAAAAAATTAGATGCTAATAAAATAAAATGCCATATTGTCGAGTGGGTTCATCCTCAATGCTGAAAATGGAGGAATATCCTCCAAATCTTTCGTATGAAGAAGGCTGGATCTCTTCTCAAATTCAACCATACATATATTTACAAATAATTAATTTGCTTATTTTATGATCAACCTATCAAACATTCATAAAATGATGCACAATGACTTTAACATTAAAACGAGTAAATATACAAAGTTGAAGTCTAGCTCTGATGGTCATGAATTTATGAAAATTGTGCACATATATACGTTAGATGGTTCTCGTAAGTGGAACAAATTTTAATAAATAAAAGAAATTTTTTTCAATTATTTTTAATTTTTTTCCTTTAAATACCAATCAAATAAATTTCTCATTAATTACAAGGAGAAAGGTCCAGATCTGCTGAAGATATTGGTATCTTCTTCTAGTATTTATCAGAAAAATCAGATGCCCATCAAGAGTCAAAATAATGTTTCTTTATTGTCAAGCATTTATGTATAATTTTGTTAAATCAACTGCTATACTTTTAGCATAATTCTTTATTATTAAACACTTTTACTGATTAAATATGGTGTGACACCTCCTAAAATCTCAGTCTCCAGATTGGTTGTTGAGGCCGGCCAGGCATAATATCATGACATCTAGACCGTAGCTACGACGTCAAGCAACGATTACCTTATGTTGGGTAATCATTGCAGGCTTGTGATTGGACGAAAAAGTGCTCACGTTTTAGGAGTGCTTGATAGTTAGGCGGGAGGCTACTTATCAATGATAAATTTTATTATGTTTTTGTCGAATTCTCTTTGTATTTTATTTTTAGTTTAGTTTTTTTACAAACCAACTCTGAAAAAAAAAAGGGACTTGGGGCACAAAATTATCATAAGATTCTCCCAGTTTTCCAGAATTATCTTACCAATTTGTGAGTACACGAATTAAGAAAATCCAAACAAAAAGAAAGCAACAAGAATTGAGTATATTTCATTTTATTGAATGGATTTGGTCGAATAAATAATTCTTGAAATGAAACAAAAAAAACTGATTACCTGAATAAAACTGCGAGAAAGAAAGTAATAACTGGAAGTGTGTTGGATGTCGCAGCAGCCAAAGATGCCGTTGTATATGTCAAAGCAACACCAAAAATATCCAAGCTCATAGTTATCCTGCAATTAAACCAACCAAAATCAAATGAATAAACTTCATGCCTTTATCGGTACACAAGATTACGGAAAATGTAACATACCCACAAAGAGAGAGCAGGAAAATCTTGATGAAAATGGTGAATGACAATGGTGGAGCAGTTTTCCTACAATTCCAAAACAAGAAATTCCAATGCTTACAATTTCCAGAGTCATAAGAATAAATCTAGCAGAGAAATATACATCGAACCACCTCATCAAACACTATATCTTTTTTTTTTTTTTTAATGAGGTGGTTGTGTAAGTTCCTCACTGAAGTCTCTCCACTAATTTATATATACAGGATTGATCTCCTATCGTGGGAGTGGGCAGGAGATATCTTGCCCACCGATAAGGTGCATAATCAAATAAGTTCGTACCGTTGGAAAAACATGGCAGTCGGGGCTAAGAAAACAGTTGCAGCAGCTTGTCTGTAGAAGACAAAAACATAAGCATTCATGCCAACATCAAATGCTACCTTTGAGAGCAAGAAATAGCCAGCGTAAATGGATTGTATGATCAAAACTACAAGAAATGGTTTGTTTATCTCCATCACACTTGGAAAGGGTAGACGATTAGTTAGAGCAAAAGGTCTTGTAGTGAAAAACTGATTTCAAACAGAGGGAAATGGCTATGATATTAATTTTGTGTTCAAAATGCAATGGAAAGATTGGGTATAAATACAGGTTTCAGAGGAAAGGGTATGGGCTGTGAATAAAAAGCCACATGACTTATTAGAGACGTGTTTGTGGGGATGATGTAGGTGTAGGGAGACATGGCCTACAAAAAAGATCAAAAGACAAGTAAACATATGCTTTTTTAAAAGTTTGATTAATTTAAGTATATTTGTATTAATTACTTTTTTTATTTGTAATTATTAAGAAAAGTGATTTGTGAGAATTTACAAGATCAAGGATTGAGATTAGAATAATGGGATTTGTTAATTACTCAAGCAAAAGGTTAATCGCTTAGATTGTTGGGAATAATTACAATGATGGTTTCAAACTTTTCAAAAATGTTCGAGTTTTATTCAAATTTTTTGCTTGTAACAACGTTGGTCCCAAATTTTTTATTTGTAGCCACAGCAGTTGAGGTTGTCCAAAAATATCCGTCTTTTTCGATCCACCCAACCTCAACTTCAACCTCAAACTCATAATCCTTCCATGAAATAAACCTCCTTTACCTTAACTAGAACTTTTAAAAAACGTGCGAGTTTTATCCAATTTTTTTATTTGGAATAGCGTTGGTCCCAAACTTTTGATTTGTAGCCACGACACTTGAGGTTGGCCAAAAATATTCATCTTTTTCGATCCACCCAACCTCAACTTCAACCCCAAACTCATAAATGTTCCATGAAATAAGCCTCGTCTACTTTAATTGGTAAGTCATAAGGTAGCCAATGCCTAAGCTGTAGCCATAACAACGTCAGCCACCGCCACCATCTTTTTTCCTCCACATCCTCTGATCTCAATTTTTCCCACCCCATCAACTTCATTTCCTTCTAACAAAAATAAAAATAAATAATCCTTTCCCCCACCTTCCAATGGGTGGGGTTAGGTGGGTTAGAAGTTAAGCGTTGTGGTTGGATAGTTGTATGAATCGGGGAAGATGAACTTTTTTATCAACTACATTGCATGAAAATTATTAGAGATTCTTTCGGTGCACATTTATTAAATGTTTTGGACTTCTACAACACGCTTTTGAAATGTTTGAGACTTCCAATGCAAATTACCATTTTTTTTAGTTAATAAAAGGTTTAAAGATCATTTACCTAAAAAACTAGTCAAACTGACTAAACTTTTAGTCCGCTAACGAATTTTTTAGATGAAAATCGTCCAGAGATCCTTTCGGAGCTCCAATTTGAAGGTTTGGGACCAACTTCCTACAAATAAAATGTTTGGATAAAATATACACATTTTTTAAAGATTTGGAACCTTCACTGTTATTATCCCTAGATTTTGTTGAGAAAGGTGAGGGGAAGAAAACAAGATCAACAATGGTAATATAATATTAAGGAAACAAGATCTTTAATAAATGAAGATTCTCATGACACCACCAAATAGTGATGGCCAAAAAACCCGCCCCGCCCAGACCCGAAATGCCCCGAACTTGCCCTATGAAAAATTAAAAAAAAATAATTAACTACAAATTAAAAATAAAAAATAGTTAATTGGAAGTTTTTGAAAAAAATAAATAAATAAACGGGACAGGAAACGGGGTAAGCCCGCGCCCCGAACCCTCCCCACCCCATCTAAGGTGGGACGGGACGGGGCGGGAAGGGGTGGGGGAGTGGAGTGGAGTGGAGGGCGGGGTGCCCCTCCCGGAAGCCGCTCCATTGCCATCTCTAACACCAAAGGAGTATAGTGAGACGAGTCGTTGCCAACCATTTATGGGCTTGACAAGGTTCAAGTACTATTATTTGAGAAAAAAACATAGTTTTGAATAGTTATTTTTAGGAAAATGTGCGGTTAAAAAGTAGGAAACATTTTTTAGCTTACGTACAAAATATTTTATTATGTGAATGTATAGTTAAAAATGAACATACAAACTAAAGAAATTTCAAATAATGATTATCGAACAAGGCTAAAATTTGTACAGTTCATGAGTCTAAACACTCCAACAATCACGACTTTCTAAATGTGTAATTGTCATTTATCAATATCAGAGCGAGTGTTCTTCTTTAATAATATCTAATTCTACAATTTATACATAAGCTAGTTCCTTTTATTGGTCGATCTTGACAACTCTTTGAATTCTAAAGATTTAGAAGTATTTTATTTGGACATTTGTCAGCAAGTGCTTTATTTAAACAATTTCAATTTCCCCCAAAACAATTTCATATGGAGGCCTGTTTGCATTTTCAATTCTTTTTTCTCCTTTTTTTTTTTTTCCCTAAATTCAACACTCTAGCTGGTATGTTAATAAACGTAGTATAGACTAGAAACTATAATGAAAAATATTCTAACTTAATTTTTTTAATTTGGTACTATCCAATCCTTCTCGTCAAACAATTTATAAAAAATTTAGTTGCCTTCTTGTCACGGATATTTCGCACAGATACGAGTTAGTTATTCTATATAATGAAGATAGAGTAGCTTTAGGGAATATTAGACGCCTTCTTGTCATGAATATTTCCATGCACGTATGAGTTAGTTCTAGTTTTAAACTTCCACCATTGTTTTAGAATTTTGACTCTTCAAAAGAAGAAAGAAAAAGGAAAATGTGGGGGTGGGGAAGGGGAAGGGGGGCGGCTATCTTGCCCGTTTAAGCTGTTGAAATTTGACCAATTTTGGATGTTTTGGATTGCCTAACATATTAACATATCTACTTCAAACCTTTGTACTTTATTTAATTAAAGTACATAATAATACTAAAACTATAAAGGATTGTGTTATATCCTTTACCTATAACAATTGAAAATATTGCTACCTAGGTAGAAATATTTATTGATTACGACGTTTCTTTCAAGGTTTTTTTTTATATCATAAAGTAGTTAATTTTCATCTTTGTCGTCATTTTATATTTTTAGAAAGTTATCCTATTATGTCATTTGAAATATTCTTGAAAACTGTCAGATATGATCGGAATCTTTATTCTGCATGTGAAACGTGTTTGTATTCGATGCTCCTTAATGGTTATGAACGAGACTTTTACTCTATCAACATTTCTTGTATTTAAATGTTACTTTCGGTACATTATTGGTACTATTTGCATTTGAAGATGCTTCTTCATAATTAATTGGATTCCAAAGCACAATATGTTAAATCAACGATATTATTTTTATGCAATTAGTGCTCTACTTTTCCTAATATTTAATTTAATTTGTTAGTGCATGATCAGGGTAGACTGTAGAGAGAAGATTAAAATGTTTGATTCCCTCCTTTTTCTCTTGGTTCTTACTTCTTTTCTACCAGCAATTGAAGCACTTATTTTTATCTTTGAATACTATTATATTTTTTTAATGGTCAATCAAAGAAACATCGTGTCATTGTAAAGCAAAAGCTTCCATATTTTGGCACAAGTTCACTTGGAATAAAGATTGTTATGCAAGTGAGCAAATTAGAATCAAAGTGATGGCTTTTGTTTATGGACCTCTAGCTTTTATGCACTAAAGGAAAACGAGTCTGAACCAAAACTATGTTGAAGATGTGATTTCAATTAATATATTTGTTTCAATTTTAATAATTTTAATTTTTACAAAGATTGGTCCGACATGATATCATGTAAAAGTTCTGATTTTTATTCTCATCCTGCCTAATTACGAATGAATAATGACTCTAATATTTTTAATTCGTATAGACTAATGGAAGTCGATCATTACTATCATTCCAATATCTTCAAAAGAAGAAGTGCAAAGTCTTAAGGGATTCACACAACTATGCATTCCTTTTTCAAGAGTGAATAGATATTATTTATTATAAAATTTAACCATAAGTAAATTATTTATTCCCTAAATTATATAAAAGCTTACTTGAAATCTAACTACTATGGGACACACGATTTTTCTCTCAAGAATTTACCCCTTTTTCTTTAAGAAAAATGGAGTTTTTAGGTCTCCACCTACACCCAATGGAGAGGTTAGCGTACACCTAGCATATTTTATACATTGACAATAGAATTAAGCATGGGAGGGAATGTTCGAACCTTACCTCCAAACTTTACATCGAGATATGGGAAATTGTTATAAATGAATTTTTAACACCAAGAAAAAGGGTATTTGCTCATTGTTAATATAAATTCAAAGGGATCCAACAATGCTTTTAAGAGAGAATAAATAACCCCCATCACACATGCTTTAATGGAAATTCTTGTTTTAATTATAGTATCTGGTAGATTTTTATAACAACAAAGTAGAAACCGCCAAAAAAGGTCTCAAGTAATATATTAATTAAGTTAACTTTTTAAAAAAATTACTTAATGACTAAATTTAAAATTTTAAAATGGAATCATGATTAGCTAAAAACCTAAAAAGGTCAATTTCTTGGTCATTCTAGTGCATAATGGAGGTCATCTCTATTGGGTTTTTAAACCAAAATTAGGTTTGAATTTTTGAGAAAATATTTTTTCTTTCTTTCCATGTATTTTTATTAGGAAAATATTGTTTCCTTTATTCCACCTAATATTTTATCTCGTTTCAATCTTTCTGGTATTTCTAGAATTTGGCATGCATCCTTATAATTACTAAACTTTTTCACAAGTTTTGTATTACAGGAATATAAAATAATTGTGTAGGCATAGTTATTGTATTTGTTTTCTCCATATTAGTCAATTGAATAAAATACTTCGTTCATCTGTCAATTAATTCTTTACAATTTATCCTATTATTTGTTTGCGATCATATACTTCACATCATGTTATATATATTACCTCAATCTATTTTATTTTCCAACAAGTGGTATTAGCGCTGTTGATTGTGATTTGTTCAAGATTTTTGTTATTGATGGCAGTCATGAAATATGAAATTTCACTCTTGGATAACAATACAAGATTCTCGTTGTGCCCAGTGAAGATACGAGTTGTACTTGCACAAACGGATTTGGATGATGCGTTGTT